TCAACACAATGCAACAGGCTCAAACTAAATATTGTCCGACAAGCAAAAAAGATGAAAAACTGAGTCAACGCACGAAAACCCTTATAGAACTAAGGCGACAAATGAAAGGAGATAACACTGTAAGCAAAGAAGCGATAAATCAAATAAATAAGACAATCACAAAGGCAATAAGAAAAGATATAAGAGACTACAATGTAGAAAAAACTAAACAGGCAATAGAGAAAAATAAGAACATGAAAGTTTTGAAGAGGAGCGTACAAAAGAGGAAAATAGAAATTAACAAACTGAGAAACAGAACTGAAGAAGAAACAACGAACAGAGATGAAATATTAAGAATAGTCGAAGAGTTCTACACAGAGTTATATAGATCAAGAAAAAAAGATAACAATACGGAACCTCCAATTACACTAAAAACTGGGGTATTAAACCAAGGATCAGATTTAATGCCCAATATAACAAAATCAGAAATCAAAGAAGCCCTGAAGAAAATGAAAAATAATCGAACCCCGGGTGAAGATGGAATAGTATCAGAAGCACTAAAAATGGAGGGGATGTATTGCTTGAAAAAATTAAACAACTTTTCAATATCTGCCTTTACAGCGCCAATATTCCAACAGACTGGAACAACGCTACTATGATTCTATTACACAAAGCAGGAGACAAAGTAAGTTTAGATAATTACAGACCGATTAGCCTCCTCAGCCATATATATAAGTTGTTTACGCGAATACTAGTTAAGATAATGGAAAGATAATTACAGACTTATCAACCAAGGGAACAGGCAGGATTCCGAAAAACTTACGGAACAAATGACCATTTACAAAGTATAAACACCCTAATAGAAAAAGCAATGGAATACAATAAACCTCTAGTTCTAATACTTATCGATTTTCACAAAGCCTTTGACACAGTTGAGCTAAGCAAAATATTACAGGCGCTTAAAGAATGCAGGCTAGAATATAGATATACTAAATGATTATACAAAATATACCTGCAGGCAACAACCACTGTCAAATTACGTACTAACAGTAATCGCATAAAAATAGAACGGGGGTTAGACAAGGAGACCCAATCCGGAACCGGAAACTTTTTAATACGGTGCTAGAACATGCTTTTAAGAATTTGGATTGGATCTTCTTCTTCTTCATGTACCATGTTCTTTCAGAACGTTGGTTACCATCATAGCTATTTTAATTTTATTCACTGCCACCCTAAATAGCATGCTTGTATCTACACCATACCAATCTCGCAAGTTCTTCAACCATGAGGTTCTTCTTCGTCCTGGACTGCGTTTGCCTGCTATTTTTCCTTGCATGATATTTTGTAGCAATCTATATTTGGGACCTCTCATAGCTGAAGATCTAGGTATGGCAAGAGAGATGGTACAGGAACTCGTTGTGGCTACAGAAAATGTAGGTTTAAATATAAATATCTCGAAAACAAAAATCATGACCAATTTAGTACCCAACCAGAACATCAGTATTGGTGGGAAAGAAATAGAACTCGTAGATAGATATAAATACCTGGGACATAAAATTATGATTGGCAGAGACAACCAGACTCATAAACTGAAGAGAAGAGTCGGCCTTGGGTGGGCAGCATTTGGAAAACTGAGAGAAACTAAAAGCGAGCGGCCTATATGCCTAAAGAGAAAGGTATTTGATCAGTGCGTCCTCCCAGTCTTGACGTACGGAGCAAAAACACTTACCTTAACAAAAGCAGCAGCTACCAAACTGAGAGTCACGCAGAGAAGAATGGAGCGGTCCATATTAGGAATAACTCTGCGAGACAGAATAACCAACGAAGACATGAGGAGAAGAACCGGAGTGACTGACATCATCGAGAAGATAGCCAGACTAAAATGGAGATGGGCAGCACACATAGCCAGAATGACAGATGGGCGATGGACAAAAAGGTTATTGGAATGGAGAAAAAGGGAAGACAAGAGAAGCATCGGTCGACCACCTACAAGATGGACTGACGATTTAAGAAGAATCAATAAAAATTGGATAAGAGCGGCCCAAGGTAGACGGGGTTGGAAACATGAGGAAGAGGCCTATGTTCAGCAGTGGACTCTTGAGGCTGGATGATGATAACCAGATAGATCACATCCTGATATATACAAGGCATTCTTTAGGAAAAATCAGAGGACTAATATCAAACCTAAAGAAAGATAAACACATAAAATAAGACAGAATTAATGTTGATAGTCTGCGCATTGAAACCGTTGCTAGAGAGTATTGGAGACAAATGGATGCGCAAATGGAGACCCTGGAGGCAGGGAAATATTGGCAAGAAACAAAACGAATCGTTTGACAAGGAGTGCTAAGAAACAACAGATAAAAAAAGATAGCATACCTAAAGACACATCAAGCTGGATGCACAAGAACAGCAAAGTATAAATACCGGACCCTAAGAAGAGAAGAAAAAAGATTACATAAAAGAAAAAAAAGCAATTTGAGGAAAAGCAGTTAGAAAGCATAAAATTGCTAAGAAATCAAAACGTAACTCAAAAGTTCTAAATCGAAAAAAATTTAAACAAAATAAGCAAAGCTTAAGCCAAGAATGGGAAGCTGTAAGGATGCAGAAGAAAATATTCGAGAAGTGATACGGCCTCAATCTTGGACAGATGAGTTGAATTTTTCAACGAAAAATTTATTGGCCATTATATCGAAGAAGCAGATAAAACCCTAGCAGAATGAAATAATTGGAATCTATTCAACGCAAACGAAAGATTACCTACCATTGAAGAGGTTATCCAAGCCATTAAAAAGTTTAAAAATAAATCACCAGGAAGTGATCAAATTTTCCGTGGGCTGCTACAGACACTGCATAAACTTTTACTTCTTGTCTGGCAAAATAAAAACATGTGAATCTGTGCAAATATGAATCTTAGAGCAGGCCAGAATCCACAGACAATTGTCGAACCAAAGTTGATGATGATGATGATAATAGGTACTTTAAACTATTAATTTTAACAATTATTTTATCTTCCGTAGTTATCACTTTATATATGGTAACTCTATTTTTAAATAAACATTTCAAATACTCTGTTTTTGATTTACCAAGTTTTAAAACTTTTTCCTCAATAGCTTGTCTCCACTGTACAGGTCTTTGTTCAAGGTGACTTTCAGTATTTTATATTAACGATACATTATCAGCGTATATTAAACACCATAGAATGTTACCCATTAGTTTCGCTGTTATCTAATCCAACACTATCGAGAATAAGTGCAATCTTGGTGGAATCCTACCTTCACATAAAATTTATCAGTCTCTTCAACACTTGTCTTAACACTAATTATTACTCCCTCATACAAGTCTCCCACAATTTTCATATATTCACCGAAAACTCCTTTTTTATTTAGAACCGTCCACATTTTTTTTTGAGGAACTCAGATTAAATAACAATGGGGACAGCACGCAACCCTGTGTAACACCTCTTTTGATTTCTATTGTTTCTGTATCGACATTTGCCCTGGCATTTGCCCCACTTCCATAATTCTATTAAATAAACCTATTAAAAATTTGTTTTTGTCTATTCTAAAACTGTCCACAGTTCCCTGGAATGTCATCTGGCAAAACTTCTTCTTCTTTACATGCTATCTCCGCCACGGAGGTTGGCAATCATCATGGCTGTTTTGATGTTAGATGCTGCCGCTTTGAATAGTTCGATTGATGTGCATCCGTCCCATTCCCTCAAGTTACGCAACCATGAGATCCTTCTCCTTCCTACACTTTGCTTGCCCTGGATTTTCCCTTGTATAATTATTTGAAGTATGTTGTATCTTTCATTACGCATAACGTGTCTTGATAATTTCCAATATTTCATTCTTTTGATGACTCTTCTAATTGACTTCGTTGTTTGTTACATGCTCGGTCCATGATATCTTCAGGATTCTTCTATACACCCACATTTCAAATGCTTTCAACTTTTTAGTAGTCGACGCGTTAGGTGTCCATGCTTCTATCCGGTAAAGCAGAGTCGAGAAAATATAACACCTTTCAAGCCTAACACTCAAGTCTTATGTCAGTTTTGCACAAAGTACCTTTCTCATTTTATTGAAGTTTGTTCGTGTTTTCTCTATTCGAACTTTGATTTTTTTAGAGTCTTGATTCGTTTGTGTGATTAATTATTGTGCCAAGATAATTGTAGTTTTCAACTTGTTCTAAAGTTTTTATTTATTTTGGGTTTTTGATATCCTCATAAATTAAGTTTTTTTTATGTTTATTGATAATCCATATTCTTCTCCATACTCAACTGTCTTATTCATTAGCTTTTGGAGATCTTGGAGGTTGTCTGCTATTGTGGTAGTATCGTCCGCATACTTAATGTTGTTAATTGGTGTTCCATTGAACTTTATTCCTGCTGTTTCTCCCTCAAGAGCTGTTTTTATAATTTCTTCAGAATATGCATTGAATAGTAGTAGTGACAATACACACCCCTGTCGCACTCCTCCTTTAATTTAATTAATCGCAATAACTTCCTTGTTTGTTATTTTGGTTACAATTGCTGTTAGTGTCCGTTGGCTTAAATTATTTTCTACCAAATTCTTAAGTTAATAAACTGTCTTTCTTAAAAGACAGTTTATTAACATACATAAAGTACTTTCTTCGTCGGTCTTTAACATCCTTTTCCTGAATTAGTACTTTTAAGCTCGTAAGTTATTACAAAACAGATTGCAAATTTGTAAATTTAAAGCGGAATAACAATTTTTAATTTATATCTAACTTAATCTATATATGATTTAATAGATATTCTTTTTCTTGCTAATAATGCCAATCCTGACCACCGGCAGGAATTTAGGGCATCGGAATCTCTTCACTTCCGATAATGATTCTCGAAAATGAAGGTCGAATCAGACAGAAGTAGCGTGAGTCTAGACGTTGCATTGCTTTATATATCCCAATATACGATGTATGCAAAAAAATTTTTTTTTGATTTAATTAGTTTGTACATTTGGTATTTGTTTATTTATTTGAGCTTTTTTATATTACAGGTGATCCATTGGATATTGGAATGGATTTAACTATTGCTAGTTTTGATGCAATTTCTGAAGTAAATATGGTACGTAACTTTGTTTTGTTTTCGTCATCTATTATATGTCCATTTTGAACCTACGTACGTGGTTTAACACAACAACCACAAATATTTGTGGTTATCTCTAGAGAATTTTGACTCTAAAGCATCTAATTAAAAAGAGGGTACATCGAGCAAGGGCATTTCACCTTATATATTTTTTTTGAGATTTATGTGATCCTGTAATATGCAAAAGGCACCTTATCAGACAATCAAGAGGCACGGAAGGCATTGGCATGGCACGAAGTGATGTCTAGCCTGGTGTGGGACTGCATTAATTAGAGAACTGAATAAATAGGAGATTGACACAAGGTCGAGCTTGTCTAAGTGCCAGTGCATAAGTCATCAAAGGCAACGAAAAAGCAGATCAACTTGCAACCGAATCAAAAGAAATAGCTCTGATCCTGGAAGCGCCAAAGGCTGTAGCACGAAGGGCTGTTTGTAAAGTATTAAATTCATCGTCATGAGCGATATTGCAAGAGAATTCCTAAACAAGCATATGGGAAAGTCTTCATTGGTAGATCATGTACAAAAAGAATAGAGAAATTGATCCATATGTACAGAAATAAACTGAAAACAGTAACAGAAATACTGACAGGAGAATACACACCAGTAATAGAATTCCTGAATAAACTTGGCATTGACAATGAAAAACTTAACTGCAGACTCTGCGATAAAAAACCAGAAACTGTAAAACGTGTATTATGCGATTGCCAGCCACTGAATTGCAAAAGATAAAAACTAGATGGGCAACCATGAGGAGACCTTAGTACATTTAGGACACACTAAGCAAAAGATTTTTACAAACCTCTGGTCTGGGTGTAGGAAACAATAATGGTCAGCGAACAATAAGTTTCTGCTTAAGTGATAACCGAGATCTTTTAGATCAGATAGACCCAAGGAACAAAAACACACCTAATATTTATAAATCTACAAAAGGCGTACGATACAGTCGCATTAAGTAAGCTATGAGCAGAGTGTGGGCCATTTGGGCGTGGGAAAATTTTGACGTGCGAAGCCACAAGATGACGGATGACAGCTGTAAACTGTCATGTCACCTCTCAACTGTTAACTGTCATGTCAACTGTCATCTCTCAAACGTAAAGATGGCGTCAATTCGTCTTCTTTTCACACTTCTTCTTTTTTGTGTTCCGCTTTTCAAGATAGCGGTTATCACACTAAGTATCCTTATGTTTCGTGACGGGCCCAATACGTATTCTCGACCCCACGCCCTTGTCGGCCCCACGCCCTTTCTCTTCCACGCCCCATGGCCCCCACACCCCGAAAAGTCAATTCTTCTTCTTTTTCGTTAACCCATCTGAAGTTGCCGCTCTTCTTGTTTTTTTTTCGTCTGTTATCTCTTTTTTATTTTGCGTCTGTAAATTCTTCTTCTTTTACGTTTGTCGAGTGTCACTTGTAAGCTTGTAATGTCTAAACGGCTCAATATATAACAACGTGCAAGGTGTCAATTTAAAGAGGAGGGGCCAAGGAACACGTAGACATAGAAAAACATGGCGCGCGTCGAATTGTCAAAATGACACTAAGCTTGTAACGTCTAAACGGCTCAACTTACGTGCAAGGTATGGATGAAAAGGGGAGGTGACAACGAATATTTGACGTAACACGTCAAAATTGTCCTACGCCCAAGTGGCCCATACCAAAATTTTGATATCAGTGATAAGTATATCCAAGCAGTAAGAGAACTATGTAATAATTGCAGTAGTTTAGTTAGGGTGACCATAATTTTTAAACAAAAAAAAAGTACATTTATAATTTTTAAGAAAATATGTATACTGCTAGTGCCCTAGGAAATTTTTCTGGTCAAAATTTTACGAATCTTTAATGAAACAATGATAAGAACGATTTTTTAATCAAAGTTAAGTACAAAAAAAATGTATGATACATTTTAATAGTTAATTTTCTTTCGACGTTCCTTTCTGAACATCTTGATCATCATTTTGGTACCAGTCGTACTTTTTGGAACTATGAATTTCCTTCGGAAGTTGTGGCTTACTCTTTAAGAATTAAAACATTTCATTACACGAAACTTTGAAGTTTGTGTAGACTTGCATGATGGCTTCTAGAGTAGATATTTTCAACTGCCATAGTTATTGATCTTTGAGAACAACCGCTCAATCAACGCACTGATCTCGGCAGACAAAAAACAAACTCACATAAAATTTTGAGATTTTTCAAAGCCCTTTCTTTTTGGAAGATTTCGAGCCATCGATCTTCGGTAGAAATATTTTTTGAATTCCAGTCTGTGATCTTATTTTCTGTAACGTTCGTATTAGACTAACTTCATCAAACAGTTTGTCCTGATTCAATATCTGACCTACGTAGTCTTTGAAAGCCTCACACGACGATAAAATTTCAGCCCAAGAAACTTGTTTTTTCAAGTTAACTCATCCAAATAGCTTTAGTTCACTTAAATTTTCACTCCAGTTTTTCTAATACGTTACACAATTTGAATAGAACTGCTTGACATGCGTGATAAAGATATCCCGATAGTTCACACTAAGGTCAAGGTCTTCCATATTTTCAAGTTTTGAAAGGGACTCCCTTACTTTAAGCGGTAAAAATAACTTATTTATGCGATTTTGAAGCTGATTTATGAGTTGGAAATACTCCAAAGTGGCTTCCGTTATGCATATTTTGTCACCTTCTACATCTAAAATCACTTTGTGGAAGAGAGACGCAATGTTATGCACAAACCACATCCATGTTTCACTGATTGGGTTTTAAAAAAACTGTTTTAGAACTGTTGGACAATTATCAATCGACAAAAAATATGCTTTCAAGGGTTCGAACATTTGTATAATTGGTTCAATGGCTGGCATAGGCTCAAAAATCTTGTTTTTGAAAACGACAATATTTTTTGTACTCAATATCAACAAAATCGCAAAACTGTTTTAATTTCTGTAAAAATATAAAAAATACTTAAAAATCTTGACCGCAATAACCTCGATGTCTATGGGTAAGACGACCGTCGCATTTTGTAAAAAGTTATTAAAAATGTGTGCCACACAAATTTGCTGAATAGATTCTTCACTCCTTTTTTTCTCATTCCACCAAAATTTGTATTTGTATTATCAGCAGACATTCCGATGAATTTTTGTAGTAAATTGTGGTGGTTCAAAACATTGACCACGTAATCTTTTAGCTGCTCTGATGTTTCACCAGATAAGTCACGTAGCTGAAGTAATTTTACTTGGACACTATTTTCTCCATCCAATAATCTTATCATTAAGGGCACAACTTTAATTTCTCTATGATTCGACGAATCAATTGTGATGCTGACGAAATTTGCTTTTTGAAGTTCAATTTTTAATTGAGATCGAGCCTCTTGAGCTAAAACATTTTTTACAATCGCCTCAGTCTTGGTTCGAGCTGCCGCAAATTTAGGTTCAAACATGCTTACAATTAGTTTTGACGTGCAGTCTAAGGATCTGAAACTTTGCAAATGCTTAATTTTATGGTAAGCAAAAGTACCTTCCTTGGCAGCAATCAACATATTTTCAGAACTTAAATTTTCTTTTTTAACAGAGGTTTCCAATTTGCTACTCTTCGAGTTCGCATTAGTAGCCAACATGTGTTTTTTCTTTGACAAATGTTGTTTGATATTACTGCGACCACTGTTAGAAATATCAACATCACTTTTACAAACTTGGCAAAACACAATATGCGGTGAAACATTTGATTTTTGTTTCATAAAAGAATACTCTGCTTGCAACTCGACGTTAAAATGGCATTTTCTTCTAGGCGATGACATGATGAAATTGTTTATTTTTCCACACAGCACAAAATCATATAAAAAACGAGAAAAAGTGTCGGAATTTAAGACAAAAGGTTAATAGACTAATCAACAGTGAGCGCATCAATTCGAATCATAATTATATTTTGTTTGGACAAAAAGTAGGACTTAATTTTGTGTAATTAAGAAAAAGAGTACATTTAGGTATACTTCATTAATTTTAAAGTACAATAGGACAACGTTTGAAAAGAAAGTACTGTCCTACTAAAAAAAGTACATATGGTCACCCTAAGTTTAGTTAACATTGGTAATGTATTTCTGAGGAATTCTGTATCAATAAAGGCTTAAGACAGGGATGCTCATTAGCACCGATTTCATTTAAAATGTATTCAGAAGAGATGTTGAAAAATTGAAAAAAGAAATGCCATGTACACTTATTATCGCAAATTCTTTAAATGTTCCAAATATTTGCAATGTAAACTAACGTCGCGTTTTTTGCTTTTAGGATTATACTATAACTCTTTATTTAAATCAATATTGGAAAGACGAGCGCTTATCATTTGGTTTTGACGACGAAAATCTTACTTTATCTGGAGAGTTTTCAGACAGAATATGGGTACCAGATACATTTTTTGCTAACGATAAACATAGGTAAGTTAATTTAAACTTAGTATAAAAGTATTCACATTAGTTATTATCAACTGCTGCAAAATATAAAAATAATTAAGTAATAAAATAATTAAAATTATCTTATTTCTAAATCATGATTTGGATTGACATCGATCCAACATCCCAGATACCATTCTAAAATGTTTTTATCTCTTCTGCAAGGTTAAGGTATATTTTGATTTTTTCGGATTGATTTTGGTTTGATTTTCTAAATATTTATTTTCAAACCGAATTGCTGACAGACCGGATTGGTTCTGTCGATGAGTTATCGCTAGAAACTGCAATCAACACTGTATCAGGGACATATTTGAGGCTCTCTGCTTTTACAAGGCTTTTGCAAGGTTTTTGCAAGGGATACGCCTTTGACTTAACTATGTCATTCAAATCCGCCAATGCCTTTTTAAATATGAACTTGGAATAAAGATTAAACAGTAGTGGTCCTAAAACACACTCTGTCTAACTTCTTTTTTTAATTTATACTTCAGCAGATGTAGGACATTCGATCTTCATTCTGGCATTTTGATTCCAGAAGTTTTTCAACAGCTTAATGTCCTTTCCATCTAAACCTACTTCTTATAAATATTCCAACAGTAGATTGTGTCTTACTCTCAAATGCGTCTTCAAAGTCTATGAAGCATAAAAATATATCTTTCTGTTGGTGGTAGCAGTTTTTTCCAGAACTAGTAATCTGAACAGGCTCTCCTGGTTTCCATGCCGGATCTGAATCCAAACTGATCGTCTCCGATGATTTTTTCTTGCTTTTTATAATAAGACTATTATAGTTATGTGAGACTTTTAATGAGACTTTAACTGTAACCTTAAAAAAATAATAATAAATAAATAAAGGCTTTGTCCACCAAAAAAATAAAAACATACTAACAAAAAGTGGACAGGCGTCCAAAAAAATTAACAAAACACCAAAACCTGGGCGCGAAGGGCCCTCATCCTCGGACACCAAATCGATGAACTGGACGCAGCCCGGAACGGAGACTCGAGGCCCGAGCAAGGAATTTCGGTTCGATGGTACGTCACTAGAGAAAGCAGGAAAAGAGCGAGTTACGCTAGCCTGCATTGATCATGTTAGGATATCGTGTTGGAGTTCTTGTACCCAGGACTTGGCTAATAGTTGTGTCCCTATCGCGCATTAGAGTGTTATAAGGGAAAAAGGAATAGCCTGGAGCATTGGAGCGCGGTGGAGTGACTCCTGTTTTTAGGTCCAGGTAATACACCTAACTCCAATGAATTGTTACACCCGAACGGAGTTCTTATGAGTTAAAATGTCTCACAGGCTGGGTTTACTTAAATTGCTTGCTTGCTTGACTTTAACTGCATGATCCATGAGGCTTATTAAACGGAAGTCAGTGCAGTGTTGTGGATTTGGTCTTTTTTGTAGTGAGATAAATATTGATTCTAGCCAGTCCTGAAGTTTTTTTGTATATTATAAATGCGATTGAATAAAATGACCAATATTTCAATGGCTTCTTCAATGCTTAATTTTAATGATTCTGGACCTGGGCTTTTATTTGTTATGAGTTGTTCAATGTTATTTTTAATTTCGATTTTCAGGATTTCTGGTCCACTTCTATTGTTTTACAACCACTTTGGTACTTCTAGACTGCCCTTAAAAAGTATTTTGATATAGTCTTCTTATTCTTTAAGTTTATCTTCGATCAATTCAAGCAATAATGACTAAAAATCACATAACATCTCGAATGCGTCAATTATTTTATGTGTTGTTTTGATCTTAATAATTTGTAGATATAACAAATTATTGGGGAAACAAGTACATATTATAAGAGTGATTTTATGTGGTTAGACATTTTGTTCACCTAAATATTATTATTATTATTATTATATAACAAATAAGGGCAGAGGAGCCTACTTTTATTATGCCCAAAAACAAAAAAAAATATCCTTATAAAACTAAAACCAAATATAGAGTTAAGTAAAGTTAAACAATTAAGTACATCATACAAAAATTGTGAAACAATGAATAAATAATGCGGTCCAAAATAACAATCCTATAAATAAAATAAAGCGCTATCAAGTTTATTTTTAAAGATGTTGACACTAGTTGCCGATATGGTGTCTTAATCCAAATTGTTCCAGATATTAAAGATTCTATTTGGCAAGAAGTTCACCCTGGATCTTACAGTAGTTTGTTCCCTCTTTAATTTGTATCGATGGCCTCTTTCATTTTGATTCAAAGCGAATATGGTGTTTAGGTTCCCAAAATTATTTTTCAAAATACGGAAGGATATAATTAGGTCACCTTGAAGACATTGCTGCTCGAATGTCGTAAGATAAACTATGAATAGTCTATCTTCATAGTTAGGTCTTACACGGCCGTATGCCAGTTTTGTAACTTTACGCTGAACATTTTCAAGTAGGATTTTATCGCGACTGAGTCTGGATTCCACACTGGACCTATAAACTCAAGAATATGTCTAACGTATATTGAGTAAAATTTACCGACAGAGGTCAGAGATATACATGTAAAACATTTACGAATCAAAAACAGTTTTGAATTTGCACGTTTACACATTGACGTCATGTAATCAGACCAATTTAGGTCACTATTAATTATCACTCTAAGATCATTGTGAGAGGTTACCAAGTTTAAGAGATGCCCATTAATAAAGTACTGCAGTGGTGGGTTATTTTTGCCAATACGTAAAACAATACATTTTTCAATGTTAAGCGGAAGTAATCATTCTGATGACCATTTGAATATTGCATCAAGATCGTGGTAAAGAACATGTTGGTTAATAGTTGGATTCACATATTTTGTATTATCAGCGTAAATGGAAACCTTACTGGATACAATGAGCGAAAGATCAGTAGTGTAGACACAAAAAAGAAGCGGTCCAAGTACTGATCCTTGTAGGACACCACTCTTGACTGGCTTATCTAGTGAGTGGTCTTCCCCAACACGAACCCTGAAGTATCTATCGAATAGAAAATCTTGAATCCAAATGTTCAACTTTCCGCGGATACAATAGTGATCCCATTTAGCTAGTAATTAAGGTTTTTGGAACACGGTCGAAAGTTTTGGAGAAGTCTAAGTAGACTACATTTACACAATGAAGTAAGTTTGTGACCGTTGAATGACCTTTGATAAAGCCATGCTGTTGGTGGGTTATGACATTTTCTTGAAGAAGTAACTCAGACATAGCTTCGGAAATAATCGATTCCATGACCTTGCCGACAATAGGAACCAAGCTGATTGGACGATAATTATTTCAATTAAGTTTATTTCCTTTCTTGAATATAGGAATAACCGAAGCCAATTTCCAAGACGAGAGGAGAGAACCTTGATTAAAAGAAGCGTTCATTATTAGAAATATAGGAATAGATATTAGAAATATAGAAATATAGAAATATAGGAATGGCTACAGATTCTGCACATTGTTTGAGGAAAGGAGGTGAGTCCGTTTAATCCAAGTGATGAATTATTGCATAGTTTCCATAAATGATGTTCAATTGCATCCGGTGTGAAAGATATATTGTCAAGAGTTTTGGACAAACGTCGGCACATTATTTGAGAAATGGTATCGTTAGGCCCATCTGTAAAAACCTAAGAAAAGAATAACGATAAACATTCCCCGTCAGATAAAAGTCCCGTCAGCTTGTTCAAGTAATTGTATGGACACTTCAGAAGATAAAGATGTGCGAATGTACCGATAAACTTTTTTTATTATTATTATTATTATTGTATAGAATTGTTTATTGTATAGAATTTTCACAGTACCTTTTCTTATTAACAACTGTGTATCAATTTATCCATCAGCAATATTTTTAAGACCAATCCTGTTATTGCTAGCTCTCTAATATTTGGCTTAATTAAATAATAAATCATGTTTCCAGTACCGCTCTACAACTCATTCGTAAAATCAGTAACTAATCTCATTATAAATTTTTTATTTGATTTAGCAATGTTGGAAGATCGTGTATCATTTCTAGATAACTATGTTCACTGGCACTTAGCGCAAATCATTTTTCTTTAAACATAAATTGCGCCTAAAAATAAAGTATACGGGTATCAAAGCCAACTCCGTAAATTGAGCCATTTTAAAAGCTCCAAAAAATAAATCAAAAACTTGATCCCACGCGACACATCCGGCTTTTTAGATGTATTATGTGTGTGTATATTTCAAATTGGCCTTATTACAAGCAATGTTTTAGTTTCCTTCATGACGTGACCGAGAAAAATAAGTTGGTGAGATTACGAGGTGATGGATTCATAGAATACGGTATGAGATTTACGACCACCTTGGCCTGCATGATGGATTTGCATTACTACCCCCTGGACTCTCAAAATTGTAGTATTGAAATTGAAAGCTGTAAGTACCTATACAAAAATTTGACCATTGGTTATATTAAAATCCCTAAATTTCTCATTTAGCTGCATTTTATATACAGAGTGAGTTTTTTGTATGGAACGACTTAATTCTCTCAGAAACGGCTTGCACGATTTTTGAAAAATTTAGTATGTAAACCCCTCATTATGCGGCCGATATTATGGTGGCATTAGCATTGTTGTTAGATCTTCTATTTTCTGAAAATAGCATACTTCTATTTTATTCTATTTTAATAAACTAGCTTATATTTCTTGTAGATGGCTACACCGTAGTAGACGTAGTAATGTCCTGGCACTCTACCCCAGTCCGTGGAGTGGAGAAGGCAGAGCTACCTCAATTTACCATAATAGGTTGGGAAACTAACGATAGAAAAGAAACCTTAGCTACCGGCACATATCAAAGACTTTCACTGTTATTCAAACTACAAAGAAATATAGGATACTTTATTTTCCAGACATATTTACCCAGTATTCTTATTGTTATGTTATCATGGGTATCGTTTTGGATAAATCACGAAGCTACTAGTGCTAGAGTTGCATTAGGTATGTATAATTCTTATCTAGAAACATTTCTGTCACTTGTAGTACAAATTAAAAGCGATTATTCGATGTTAAAATTTCAGTATAAGGTTAAACACAGACAGAGCGGCGTGCGCCGCGTCGGCGGCCGCGCCGAAGTTGAAAGCGGTCTCTCGTCTATGGTACTTATGTTGTGCAACACAAACAAGCCATCGTTCGTCAGCTCGCTGCGTCGGCCACCACGCGGCGTATGCTGAGTATCATGCGCCGTCGGCGGTTTTATGACTTTCTGCGGGCACATCAATAATAGATATCTCGTGCTTTAACACAGACGTGTGGCTGTTTTGCAGCGTTTTTATTTGGTTACTTTTGTGAGTGTTTCCCAAATTTTGTATATATTATGGAAGCTGTACACATTAATTATCGAAATTCACACACGGCCAGCAATTTGCGATATGTGCTCAGATAATTATTCAAATAAAATAAAGAAAAAAACAAACTTGGGAAGAGGTTACCCACAGTTTTATTTCGAAAGATGCTTTTCTGGGCAATCTTTAATTTCGTTAACTAACGTGTTAAACGTTTCTTTATTTTTTCATTAATTTACTATAGAATGTATCCAATACCTGCGTTTCTTCTTTTTCTTTGATTTAATATGAAGTAAACTTGCACTTATTAGGAAAAACAAATCGTCGTCACTTTCATTAGATGATTCTAGAGACATCATTATACCATTCTACATCCAAAACTCGACTAAATTTGACAACACCGAATACAATGGCAAAACTGCTATCACTGTTAAATCGTCTCATGTGTTTTAAGCCGCGCGGAAGCCGACGGGGCGCAAACCGCTTTGTCTGTGTTTAACCTTAAAGGTTATAGAGCGGTTATTTTTTGAAAGAATATAACATAACAAAATATTGCAAATAATTATTACTGTCCTGAGATTCATTGTTGTAGTGGCAGTCTACGTGGTCAATCAAGGCTGTATGATTCTCAATTATTAATTTAATTAATTGCATTTTGTAAAAATGATTTATATTTATTAGATTACGAATTATAATCATTTTAACAACTTAATTGTTTATAACAAATGCCGGTTAGACGCAAAAGCAAGTTTGAAATTCGAATTCAGCACGTCACAATGCACAAGAATACACTCTGAAACTCCGTTGACTTTCTAACTGAAATTTCAGTTATAGCAGTCAACAACCTGTCCTTTAAAACTTAGTCTGAATCCTCGTTACTGCAATAATCGCCTTAAATATAAATGGAGGTCTTATTCTTTATAAAGTTAAACGAACTCAAAAACAAATGAATAAAAGGAAAGAATTCGAATTGTATTTTAGTTGATTTGATCATCATATTTCAAAGTTATGTAGTTTAATATAATTTCGAAGATTTCCTATTAATACAAATTTTACCCGACTCTTAATAAGTTTCTGTTTTGGCAATTTACAACATCGTTATACATTCCGATCCTTTAAAACTAATTAAGAAAGGTAGGAAACTATATTAATGAGAAAACTATTTTCGCTGGTGTATCATAATGGACTATATCATACATAATAAATAGAATTACTTTGATTAAAACGTATCACAATATAGGTTATAAATTTTATGAGGTTACGAATCGTCAAGATTCTTAACCTCATAAAATTTATAACCTATATTGTAACAAATTCAAGATAAATTTTATGAGGTCAAGATTACGCCCAAAAAAAACTACCAAATTTCTCGTCTAAATTTTTCTAAAGCTCTAGTACTTCCTACTTAGTCATTAACCCTTTCATAGGCGGCGGGAAAATAAATTCCCACCATCAAAAATTCTTTTTATGGGAGATGGAAAAGGAAAGGTGTTTTCAGTTTTCAAGACACGACAAAAAAAATTAATTATTTTTTGAAGATTTTTGGTGATGAACTTCTACAAGCATTGTAGACCAGACAAATGTCTATACTTAATAGGACTTGATTTGAAGAAGTAACAAAATGATAAATACATCTATAGATGACATTTAAACCGTCATTGGCGTCTGCATTATGATTAAAATTCATCAGCTTCCTCTGTTAGCAAACTATTGGTCAAGTTATGTCTATTTTACGATTTCTCTTGCGATTGAGTATCTCTTTGTCAACCATTTTCAATCCCCTCCTGAATGTAGGTCTCTCTCAATTGCTTCCATCTTTCTCTATCTTGCGCCAATATAATCCTCTGTTTGCCTGCAACTGCTGTTATGTGATCTACCTATCTTTGTTGAGGTCTTCTCATGCTTCTTGCTGTCGTCTTTGGTCTCCATTCTAGAATTCTCCGTCTCCATCTGTTGTCATTATATCAGGCTACGTGACCTGCCCAGCGCCATTTCATTTTAGAAATTTTTATTATTTATTTTAAAATAAATAAAATGTTATAGAACAACAATACAACAACAAAACAAAAGGGAATCAAGGATTTGATAAAATGCTACAAATTCACTTAATTTTGATATAGTCTCTGATGTATATGTGCCGTTTGTTCCTCTTCTCTTTAGCCTATACATCGCTGATATACTAGAAACCAGATCAAGGAAGTTTGGTTACGCTGATAACTAAGTCCTTGCAACAAGGTGTAAGTCATTTGAACAAACAGATGACATCCTCACGGCAGACTTACACACAGTGGGAAAGTATTTCCGTAAATGGAGGCTCCAACCAAACGCTACCAAAACAAAGGTTTCCATATAAAATTGAGTTACCTTCCGCCTCTAATATTATTTCAATTTTTCTGTTCCAATGAAGACAAGCATCCCAGAAATAATAAATTTTTTTCCTTCACTTCATCTTGTATATCCCCTTCTCCTAACAAAATAACTTTCGAACGATAGTCAGTACTCGTATGTCACACTTTCTAACTACTGAAAAAGTTCCATGCTTTGGCTGGATATTTTGATTGCACCACACCTAAAACATGACTCATATTGGACATAACTTCTACCAGCTTGATGACCACCATCATTCTTAATTGCAGCTTCCTTCTTTCTGAACAATAATTTATCTAACTTTTCTTTAATTACAGCTACATTTTCTGATTCTATCTTTTAACTTGACCCTCTGTAAATGAGACAGTGCTATCTCATAAGCTCTTTCAAAGGAAATATCATCTTCTGCCAGAAGTTTACGTTTTATTGTGACCCATCGTCCACCACATACAAGCCTGTCTCTTAAAGATTCTTTCAAAACTTGACCAAATTTACAATACTGACCCACACTTTTTAGTTTTAACATAAAACTTTTAATATCTTCTTGCAGCTCGTCATATGTGTTGTAAAATTTATCATGTTGTATATTATGTTAATGTATATTATGTCATATCAGCGATAACTAACCACTTTGAAATATAATGTTGAGTCAGAACTCTTTTTAACTCCTCAAATGTTTTTGAACTTGGTAGTTCTGGTGCTAATAGGTTTTAAGACACTGTAACCTTCTTCACCAATTGAGTAATCAATAATGGAACTTCATTGTATTCTTCCATTACATAGATAGGACGTGACATCAGTTTTAGCTAAATCAAATTCTGGAATTCTTTGTGGGAAAAATATTTCCCACCTCCATAAAATGTTAAAAAAGTTGACCCAAATAAAAAGTTAAATAATATTTAAACGTACCTTTCAGACTAACTTTTGGTAAAAATATTTATCATAGTATGTTACTATGTTTTGGTCATGCCTATGAAAGGGTTATTAGAATGATTGATAATGCAAATTAAGTATTGAGAACAGTGTATATATGGCTGCAGAACCAAAGGCTAAAATCTTTAGTCAGAACTCTTTTTAACTCCTCAAATGTTTTTGAACTTGGTAGTTCTGGTGCTAATAGGTTTTAAGACACTGTAAACTTCTTCACCAATTGAGTAATCAATAATGGAACTTCATTGTATTCTTCCATTACATAGATAGGACGTGACATCAGTTTTAGCTAAATCAAATTCTGGAATTCTTTGTGGGAAAAATATTTCCCACCTCCATAAAATGTTGAAAAAGTTTACCCAAATAAAAAGTAAAATAATAGTAAAATAATATTTAAACGTACCTTTTAGACTAACTTTTGGTAAAAATATTTATCATAGTATGTTACTATGTTTTGGTCATGCCTATGAAAGGGTTAGAATGATTGATAATGAAAATTAAGTATTGAGAACAGTGTATATATAGCTTCAGAACCAAAGGCTAAAATTATTTTATAACAAATCTTTCCTATTTTGTTTAGTAAACAAAAAGGGTTGGAGTAAACACTCTTTTTCCAAGGTAATACTCGGAAATCAGAATATAAGATAGGTTAAAAACTCAATTACGTATCTGGAAGTGTTTTTTTTTTTAATCCCAAGTATAATTCATATATTATTTTAATAGAATTAAAAGTTAATCAAGGCAACAATGTTATGAACGCACTCTGTGCGACATATTGGAATTTTCTCTATTTTCTCTATCTATCTATCTCATTTTATCCAAATACTTTCGCTCTCCCGGTCACAGGCATCTGGTTAAAATTAGACCTACACCTTATGGTCGACATATACATATATATTTTTTAATGACTTGTTTTTCAGGTATTACCACTGTTCTAACTATGACCACGATAAGCACCGGTGTTCGAAATTCTTTGCCTAGGATTAGCTACATTAAAGCAATAGATATTTACCTCGTTATGTGTTTTGTATTCGTTTTCGCAGCGTTACTGGAATATGCAGCTGTGAATTATACATATTGGGGAGCTAGGGCAAAAAAGAAAAAGCAACAGAACATAAGGATTGGTAAGACTGGTAGTATTGGTTTTTTATGAGCATGCAAAATATGTTTCTAATTTTCTCATCAGTGAAATATTGAGCGCTAATGTTTCGTTAGTACTTTTCTATAGGATATCCACATCATATCTCGGGTTAAGGAAGTGTCTTAGAAGTTATATATATGTTGTAGATGTAAGATATTGTTAGCTATTTTAATTCATAATAGAATAAAACATGAAGGTTGAGGATAAGATGCAGAAGTGTCTAGGAAGAAAAATACTTTCCGATTTATCCTCGGCATTCTTCTATCAAATTTTTTTAGCCAGTCTAATGCGTATCTAGCTAATCCGATGCTACTGTTGAGTTCTACTATTAGGGCTTTTTTTTGTTACGATACTGCGCAAATATTTATATGTGTCTACCACTTCTAGTTGTTGTTTATGGATATATATATTGGTATTTGCACGTTTTTTGAACTGCTTATGGTCATGAGATTAGTTTTCTTGTAGTTAATTCTTGATGTAATGAGCCTTGTTTCTCACAGTTCCTTATCAAGCTTTCATCCATCTCTTGAAGTCATATTTCTGATATAGAAAAGACCGATAAGAGTTGATTTTCGTCCTTATAGAACTTATCAGAGCAACTGGGTAGCAATTTCGAATAAGCAAATTGAAGAGAGACATACGTCAAATCAAATCTTCTCTGTATTTTCTATATCTTTATTTTCTCGTATTTCGAGTACTAAAAGCCAGTTCATGAAAGTTTCCTGCTTTCTTCATCCTCTGGTTCCTATCCGTTTTGGATGTTGGAAATCATATTGGCAATCATAACCTTGCTCGCTGCGGATCGAAACAGCTCCGTTGAGGTTTTCTTAAATCATGTTCTTAAATTCCGCAGCCATGATATTCTCCTTCTACCGGGTCCTCGCTTACCTTTGACTTTACCTTGCAATATAGACTGTAGCAGGGAGTAACGGTGCTGATTTCTCATACCGTGTCCCAGATATTGCAATTTTATGCGTTTGATCGTAAACACAATCTCTGGTTCCTTCTTCATTTTTCCTAGAACTTCCTTGTTCGTGATTCTTGCTGTCCATGATATTCTCAGCATTCTTCTATAAAGCCACATCTCAAATGCTTCAAGTTTTTTAATAGTGGTGTCTGTAAGCGTCCATGCCTCCGCCCCGTACGACAACATATAGAAAACATAGCATCTCAAATGTCTCATTTTTGTATCAAGGGATATGTTGTGACTTCTGAAGATGGCGCTCATTTTGTTAAAGACCGTTCTTGCCTTTCCTATGCGGCACTTTATTTCCTGTAAATTGCTCCACTGTTCGTTAATAATAGTTCCCAGGTAACAATACTGTTTTAGTCGCTCTATCTGCGTCCCGTTAATGTATAGATGAGCCCCATTTATATTCTCCTTGTTGATAATCATTTGTTTCGTTTTGTGGGTATTAATGTTTAGTCCGTACTGTACTCGTTTCTTCTGTCCATTAGCCTCTGAAGTCCCTCTATACTCTCTGCTATCACCATGGTGTCATCGGCATATCTAACATTGTTTCTAACACTCTTTCACCATTTAGAAGTATGCCTTCGTCTATTCCGTAAAGAGCCTCGTTAAAAATTTTCTCTTAGTACATATTAAATATCAACGGCGATAGGATACATCCCTGTCTAACTCCACCTAGTATTTTTATATAATCTGTTTCTTTTCCGTTAATTTTCATGTATGCGGTCTGATTCCAGTAGAGTTCTGAAATTATTCTGAGGTCTTTGTCATCCAGGTGTGCCTCTTTTAAACTGTTTATCATCTTTTGATGTTAAACTCTGTCAAATGCCTTTTCATAGTCGATCAAGCACGCGTATACGTCGCAGTTAACGTCCTTGCATCTTTGAATCAGTACCTATACTCTGAAAAGTGCCTCTCTGGTACCCACTGCGTTAATGAAGCCGAACTGTCTATCCGATATTTGTTCCTCGCACTTCTTATAAATCCTTCCATGTATGACTTTAAGAAACAGTTTCAACATGTGGCTCATTAGGTTGATTGTTCGATATTCTTCGCACTTTTTAGCCCCCTGTTTTTTAGGTATCGCTATGAATTCTGATTCTAGCCATTTATCAGGGATGATTCCTGTATTGTATATTTTATTAAAGACAGCCGTGATCCAAATTATTCCTTCTTCCTCCAAGAGTTTTAAAAATTCAGCTTCGATATTATCAGGCCCTACAGCTTTCCTGCTTTTCATCCGTTTTATTCCTTCTTCTACCTCGGATTTAAGTATGTCCGGGCCCGTCATCCTCTCTGAAAATGGATGCCTATAATCCGTTCTTTGATCTTGAAAAAGTGTCTCCATATATATTCTCCATCTATCTTTCATCTCTTGGGTGTCAATGAATAATTTTCCATTGGTGTCTATGAGTTTCATTTGTGTTCGCTTTTTAAAAGTACCCGTTATTTCTTTTACCTTTTTGTGTACATTAAAATTGTCATGCTTGGCTTGTAGTCTTTCTATTTCTTTACATTTCTCTACAGCTTCTTTTTCTTTAGCTTCTCTTATTTTTCTTCTGATGTAAGCCTGCATTTTTTTATACTCATCTTTATTTCCTTTAATTAACCTTCTGTGTTCCATTAAATGAAGGATTTCTGGAGTCATCCAAGATTTCTTCTTTGTTTCTTTGTTTGGTTTTAGCAGATCTTGTTTAGTTTTCTTAATTATTTCTTCGAATTGATTGATTTCTCGTTGGATGTTATTTTCTTCTTTTAATTCTTCTTCGTTGGTTCTTGCTTAGATGAATCAATATGATGTGGAATGCAATTTTAGATTTCCCATGTCGGTCCATTCATCGTCGACTTGTTTTGAAATCTGTAGAAGGTACACATTAAAGTAAAAATCGAAACTTTGGTTTCGAATAAGTATAAATCTTCGGATTTTTACTTTTTGTTTAATATTTCTGAGGTTGCGATGAGAACAAAATTTATTATTTCATCTATTATTTATACGCATGATTCTAAGTAAACTTTTTTTTACTATAAGTTATAACTTTGGTATTATACTGTAGTTAATCTTAAATAGTAATTTGTCCTCGATACGTTTTCAGATGCAAGAGAAACGTTATCTAGATCTAGTCCTTCTAACGAAGACATAATTGAATTAAGAGACTTGAGAATGAGTCCTATTCCCTCAATAAGAAATAGGTATAGTCCATCATATTGGTATACCGTAGACTTACCCAGTCTACCTCCTAGTTACCGGATGAGAAGAACACATTCTCCTTATATGTACAGAAATGCTGCAGGGTTTAGATACAGAAGAAATCGAGGTAAATTTTACTTATCAGTACATTGTTACAGGTTTTAGGCGTTTTATTAGGTATTACATACCTAAATAGGAAGTAGTTGTGTTCATCCGCTAAGAAGGCATCATCATGATTACAAGTTTCTTTATTTTCCACAGAAATAATAATTGGTTCTATTGTTTCTTTTACTAACATATCGAGTTTCCAGTATATTTCTTCGTCTGCTATGACAGTCATAGCTTTTTGACAATTGAAGACCTTAAAGCAACAACGGTACAAGCCACAATTTTGTGTCCAGTTTATTTCTTCGTCTGCTATGACAGTCATAGCTTTTTGCCAATTGAAGACCTTAAGGCAATAACGGTACAAGCCACAATCTTACTAAAAATGAGTTATATATGTTTTTCAAATGGTTAGGTTCCTATCTACCTACAAAATAAAAACTAAAGCTTTTGCTTCATAGATGACTCCACGAGTTATAAATATCCTTGTTTTTTTTATACTAAAATCAACTATTTTAAGTGGAACAACGGTACTAGCCACCATATTTTTTAATGGCCGCTTCAAGTAGTCGAACAGCTCCACAAAATTCGTGTTATTATGAAGATTCTGAAAGTGATTCTGATTTGTATTTTGATTCTGATGATAGTGTTAAAGACAAAGACTATATTGAAAGTAATAGTGATAGTATACACTCTTCAGGTAGTGAAACACAGGTGAGTAATTAAAATTTGTGGCTTGCTCCTTTTTAATGAAATTATTGTGGCTTAAATTTTCTTTTTTTTTATTTGTAAAAAACCATGTAAATATCATTTCTTAATGCTAAAATACCATAGCTACCTACTACTGCTTTCAAAATATTGATAAAAAAAATAAATAATTCTTGCTTTGTATATTTTAATATCGATTTAACGTCGAGTTGTGGCTTATTCCCTTAGTGCCTTAAAAATTATTACAAAACATTTATGGTAGTCCCAGGAATATAACACTATTTTTGTTTGCAGGCTAATGAATTTTCTGCTGCTACCGAAACAAAAAACGATCTGCTTAACAGACGTGGTTCTCTTTCCACGCCGGAGAAAGCCCTTTCTTCAAGATGGCGCCAAGCAAACCTAAAAAGACAGACTAGACATAAGAGAAAAACCATCCGAAATTTGGGCTATAGCTATGTACAGTGGGTGATCAAATTATTATGATCAGTCACAAAAATTTAAGTTTGTCATATTTGTTCAGAAATTTTATAATAAAATTATATGCTGATATACGATTAAGGTATGCCAATATATTTTGTCACTGATAACCTTACTTTTTTGACGTTTACCGCTCTAGAACTGACATTTGTGTCAAATTACGTGACAACATACACATTGTGGTGAATTTACGCTTGGAGTTTACAACTGAATTTGTATGTTTTTGTATTGTTTTTGAAAGATTAGTATCGTTTTATCTTTGTAGTATGTTTTATTAATTTATTAGTGGTGATTGTGAGTGAAAAAAGAATATCAGTTTTAATTTTAAAGACATTTTCAAAACATTTCGATTTTTGAGAAGAAAATCGTAATGGGTAAGGCTAAAGACGTCCCTGTGTCTAAAATGGTGGAAATAAAGACACTTTTATGGAATACAAAGCTTTCCCAACGTCAGATAGCTCAACAATGCCAAGTAGCGCAAGCAACAGTGAGCATATCAAGAAAAAAATTGAAACCAACAAACCCCTGATTCACCATCGTGCCCAAAAATGTGGTCGAAAACGTGTCACTACACCCAGAGACGAAAGAAAAATGAGGGATATATTCGTAAACAATAGAAAGAAGCCAAGAAGAATTCTCACGGGACTTATTCGTGAAGCTGGTATGCCAGTTTCTGACATGACAGTCCACAGAAGGCTTACTGAGCAAGGTTTCAAATCATGTCCCCTGCCAAAAAAACCAAAGTTGACCATCGTAATGATGAAAAAGAGACTGGAATGGCCCAAAGAACACCAAAATTGGACAATTGAGGATTGGAATAAGGTAAATTACGTCACTACTAAAGTTTAAATCACTAGGACCACTGTTTTTATCTTAAAAAAAATATCTTATAGTTTTTTTTATTCACAGGTTTGTTTCTCCGATGAGTCTACAGTGGAGATACACATGGATAAGTCGGCCTTCGTCCGAAGGCGAGTGGGTGAAAAATATCATAAGGATTGCATAGTGGAGCGAGAAAAGCATCCTCTCAAGATTATGGTATGGTCTGTGATCAGCAGTAAGGGCACAGGGAGGCTGTACATTGTAAATGGAATGATGAATCAACATCAGTATATTGAAGTTCTGGAAAAAAAAACTCGTGCCACAAATCAAAGACTGGTTTGGCGAATCGGAGGATTTTACCTTAATGCACAATTCAGCACCGTGTCATAAGGCAAAAAGAGTAACATCTTACCTGGAAAAAAAGAAAATTAAAGTATTGAAGTGGCCAGGTAATTGCCCAGACCTCAATCCGATCGAAAATCTATGGGAGCTTATGAAGAGGGGCGTTGCCCAGGAAATTGTCACAAATAAGCAGCAGTTAATTGAGAGACTCATTGCCACCTGGCACAGAAACGATAAAATAAAAGAAAACTGCCTGAGAAACATTCAAAGCATGCCAAGGAGGATCAAAGCTGTCATCGAAGCTAAAGGAGGTCACACAAAATATTAAAATAAAAAACGTTATTTAAGGTCAAACAAAAAAATATTTTAAAATTTTGTAAAAGAACGTGTTTATGATCTATTTTTATATTATATTTACATTATTAGACACTCATATGTAGTTTTATTCTTTATTAAACAGTAAAATATAAAGTTTTTTGAAGTGATCATAATAATTTGATCACCCACTGTAAGTAAACGGCAAAAACAAGTACCTGACAGGGAAATCGGACCTCGATGTAAGTGTAGCAAGAAATGTCGAGATACTTTGCAAGGAAATGAAGCACAAATTTTTATTGCGTTTTGGAACTTGGGTGACTATGATAAACAAAAGATTTATCTTTTTTCCTAAATCAAATCAAGTTCCAAAAAAAGAACCTACCTCAAAAAAACCAAAAAACATGTATCGTCGCGAAATGTTTTAATACAATACTTTGTAAAGATCAAGGGTATAGATATAAAAATATGCAAACAAAAGTTTCTTGCAGTTCATGGATTGCAAAAATAAAAAAAAGAATTCAACTTTTATGCGAACAAATGAAGGAAGGTGCTAGTACCCCAAAAGCAGATAAACGTGGCAAACACCAGAATAGAGCAAATAAAATTAATGACTGTGATCGTCAAAACGTAAAAACACATATTAAGTCCATCCCAAAATACACTAGTCATTATAGTAGGCAAAAAATTCAAACAAAGTGTACATAGATAATGATTTATCGATTTCTGCTCTTTATCACGATTATTACCTGGAATGGTGTAGAAATAGAAATGCCAATCCAGTAAAAGAAAGCTACTACAGAAATGTTTTTTGCAAGGAGTTTAACATTGAATTTAAATAACCCAAAACGGACACCTGCAAAACATGCGACTCTCTAAATATTCAAATTAGAAATGTTGCCAGTACAGAAGCATCAGCAGGCAGGTTAAAGACTCAACTTGAGCTACACCATCGAAGGGCCGAAGCTTTGCAAAAAAGTCTGAAAGATGAAATAGAAAATGCTAAGAGAACAAAAGACACACTTGTCATCAGTTTTGATTTACAGCAAGCGCTACCTGTACCTTCATTGACAGTTGGTCCTGCTTTTTATTTACGAAAAATTTGGACCTATAACTTAGGAATACATGACTGCGTTGAAGATATGGGATATATGTATATGTGGCCCGAACACTTAGCAAAACGTGGAAGTGATGAGATTGCTAGTATATTATATAAGCATTTTAAAGAAAATCCTACTGAACATAGGAAGCTTGTTGTATATAGCGATAATTGCACTGGACAAAACAAAAATTGGACTATTGTATGTCTATGGCAACAACTAGTTAAAGAAAGTGACTTTGATACAATAGAACATAGATTTCTAGTAGTGGGACACACACATCTTCCTTCTGATCGTGACTTCGCAATTATTGAAACACATAAACACCGTTATTTAAATCAGGTGTATACCCCTGATGATTGGTATCAAGCAGTCTTAAAATCAAAAAGGAAAAATCCTTTTATTGTTATTGTTTTACAGCAAAAAATATTTTGTCTTTAAAAGATTTACAGATCCAAAATATTACCAAAAAAACGCAGGAGAGATATTGGCAGGAGAGGTGTTAGAACTGCAGTTAACCTGAATGTAAGGGATTTAAAAATTAAATATGGCGCACCCATTCCATTAAACCCCGAAAAAAAATATCTAATATTTTGATAGTTCTTCGCTACATACCACCTATTTACCAGAATTACTACAGAGAGATTGGTGTTGTTGAAAATATGGGAACAGATAATGATAATATAGATAATGAGAGAGAACATTTGGATGACTTTAGTGATCTGGAGGACGAAAATTAAAGTGATTTTATGTATTGTATTTTTCATGTTTAGTACTGTATGTAACTTCTAATATTATGATAAGATACCTATTTTACAACGTGTATTAATAATTTGTTTTGGTAATAAAGATGCAAGCAACATTTTTTAAAATTTTTTTTGTTTTTTTTTCAACAAAAACTGCTTTTTTTTAAATTGGCTTAGCGTTTCAAGGATAGTTGATATACAAGTTTCAAATAACACCATTTACAAAATTTCTAATCCATATTTGGTATTTCAGGATTTGATTAAAACCTTTATAATTGATTTGCTCAAAAACTTACTTTTGTGGCATGTACCGTTGTTGCTCTAAGGTACCTTCGAGCCTAGGCTACTCTTGAAATATAGTTCTCGTCAAAAATATTTGTATTTTATCTATCAATGTTTAAACTAGTAAGATGTAGCTCGTAAAGTAAAGAAAAATTTGAAAAAAATTTTGCAGAGTAATGCAATTATAGTTTTGCCACGTATTAATTTAACGGTATCTACGCTTATTTATTACGTATTTATTTTTTTTATTTTTAGGAAATGTTGTAAATCAAAGAAAGGTGATAAATGCGCTAAGAAAAGCAGCATCAATCCTCAAACCGTCCTTACCAAAAATTAGAAACGTCAATGTGATCGACAAATATTCAAGAATCGTGTTTCCTGTAATGTTTTTATTATTTAACATCGGATATTGGGCGTACTATTTTGTAGAATAAACGTTGTACTCGTATTACTATGTAGATAAAAATTAGTAAAATATAATAATTGAATGGACCAATTTGTTTATGTTAAATCATTTCATTTTTAAAATTAACATCATTTTGCTGGGATATTGTGTAACGAACTATTTTGCTTACCTCAGGGTAAGAATATGGGGGAGAAGATTGGGCAAATAAGATAATCGAAACTAGTGCGTACGGCACTCAGAGGGTTGTTGGAGAGCTGGGTCGTGGATAAGTTAATAAAATAAGTATCTACAAAATGAAAACAAAGGGATACTTACATAAATCTCCTAAGCAATTAATACAACAAAAAACGAAGCTTTTAGCAATTTAAGGTAAGGGCGCCGCTTCGAAGGATCCTAGTTTGCTGAAGGAAAGAAAAAATTCTTCTTTCCCAAAATCAAAAATACATACAAGGATTAGGAGACTTTTCTAAATTAAAACAAAAAATGGATCAGACAAACAAATCAAACGTTTATTTTTGTCTCAAACAAACAGTTTTCAAAAATACAGATTAGGGATGGCGGTTTTTGACAAAACACCGATTTTCGGTTATACCGGTTTTTTTGCTTATGGTTTAACCTGGCAGTTATAACCGGCAAAAAAAACCGGTTTTTCCAAAAACCGGTTTTCGGTTTTGTAATCGAATAGATTAGAAAGTTACATTTATAATGCACTTTAGTTTGCGATACTACATTCGACTCGATTTAAATATGATCAAAATAAGTACTATCGAAAGAACATCAATATCAATGTAAATACAACACAATGTTTTGTGTTTTGTGAGAAAAAAATTTCCCAACAAAAATTTTCCAGACTCTTTCAAATGGGATTTAAAGAAAATAATATCAACATAAATATTTTACTTAAACATAAATTGGATAATGCAATTCATCTTTTATTTTTACTACCATCAAAAAAATTATCATGTATTACTTTTAACTCATTTACGACTTCCGGTATGGGTATAAATCGTTTTGAAAACGTAGGGAAATCCTTAGAGATTCGTATTCGTAATCGGCAATTCGATATTCATAGTCATTATATTTGGTAATCAGAAAAAGCCATTAACCTTTTTCAATGTCAACAGTCAAGTGTAAAAAATAGATGATGTATAAATACCAGATCAGTTCTTATGTAGAAATATTATGATTACCAATACTTTTTCAATGAAATACTATAATAAAGTGTAATTGTTTCTGGCTGATGTGAGCTTGCACTTTCAGTTTGCTTCTGTATTTATAAAATAGAATAAAAATTGAATTTTAGTTTTGTTTGGAATAATTACTTGAGAATAATAATTATGATTGGGTGGGATCCAAAATAATACCTAACCTAATCCTAATCACGGTAAAAACCTAATAACCGGTTTTTACTTTAAAAATAAAAAACCGGTTATAACCGGGACAAAAAAACAACCGATAAAACCGGTTATTTCGAAGTAAAAAAACCGGTTTTCGGTTAAAACCGGTAGGTTTTTCCCATCCCTAATACAGATTACACAAGAAGCATACTATATATATAATACTAATTAACAAATTAACCTAAACCTAAATAAACAATATCCCCCTTGAAATTCGTTCTTAACAACCTCGAACCGACAACAAAAAATATTTTTTTTTAAACGAAATCTTAGGAGACTTGGATGTAAACAAATCGTTTTCAACTACAAATACATCTATATTTTTACCTGACAAGGTAACAAAAAGTTATGGGATTTAAAAGAATACATAGACAAAAAATATTTAAAACGTTATTACGCATTTAGAAATCTCAACTTAAAATTTTTTCGTAAAAGACAAACACAGAATTCTTGGTATAAACAACCAGGGCGTACTACAAAAATTCAAACAGAATCTATATTATTATATTATAGATATTAAATATGAAAATTTACAACGCTACAATTGTTATCAAATTTTGTAGTACTAAGATGATTTTATTATTTTTAAAGTTTTTTATAATGTATGTTAATGTGAAAGTGATTATTTACAACGTTTGATACTTTTATCTGATAATCAAAATAATCATGGGAGATACAGGTAAGTGTTCGAGTGATCAATTACCTTTAGCCTGTGGGAAAAACTCTGTGAAGAGGAAAAGCTTTTGGATGATGCAAAATGATTCAAAGAAACTAAAGTTACATTCTCATGCAACTGGGGAAGCTTGTAAATGTTATAAGAAATGTTTTGATTTAATCTCTATACACGAAAGACAATTTATTATAAAAAATATAAACTCTTTTAAAAATAACGAGAAAAGAAACTTATATTTAGCGGCCTTGGTTACTTTAATTCCTGTACAACCAAAAAGGGCTAGCAAACCAGAGAATAGGGCTGGTTTTCGAGACTGAACTGTCTGTTATCATGTGAAAATAAAACAGGAAGTCACTGTGGAAGATATTCAGGTTTGCAAGAATGCTTTTGTGTCATTTCATGGTATAACACGAGGTAAAGCTGATGTTCCTGTAAATAAATTGAAAAAATCAAACGAATCTCCTAAGGACTTACGGGATTTGCATAAAAATCACTCTTACCAAATAGACGAAGATTTGAAAAAAGCAGTCCATGAGCACATAAGTTCTATATCTAGCAAAAATAATCATTATAGCCTTAAACAGTCTTCAAGGACCTATTTAGATGACTCATTAAATATTAAAAAATTGTTTATTATTTTTAAAGAGAAATATTCCAATTTAATACAAAAATCCCTTTTGTATGAAAGCTATAGGTTTATTTTTATTCTTGATTTCAACATTGGATTTGTATATCCGAGATAGGATACTTGTAGCATGTGTGATAGGTATATTGTGGAAAAGAAAACGTTAAGTTTAAAAATAAACGAGAAAAGAAATGCAAAGATGCCCAGATGCAAGCTTAGTCAAGAACTAAAAGCACTTAAAACTAAACAAGAACTTCACTTGAGAAAACAAGCAACTTTTTACGAGAGAAAGAGGACTGCTTGACAAAATGCTATGAAATCGTCAAAAATAGTAGCTATTACTATTATAGATTATAGCAGCAATTTTTCATGCCCTAACATTGAAACCAACGATGTCTACTATAAAGGGCAATTATTTGTGTATATGTTTAATATACAGACATGTGCTTTCAAGTAATGAGAACTATTTTTATATCTATCCAGTAAGTAAGACAATTAACAATTTATAACTAGATAATTTTTACATTTCTTTGTTAACAAATGTCTTGAAAAAGAATTAGAATAAATTTGAAAGCTTGATATATTTGATATATATATATATATATATATATATATATATATATATATATATATATATATATATATATATATATATATATATATAAGTTATGATTTTTGAGGATGCAGTCAGTTTATTTGGCCCACAAGACAAAGGAAACTCTTTGACTTACTGTCAAGCTTTCGAATTTTTTTAATTCTTTTTCAAGACATCTATAAAAAGAAATATAAATTAACTAGTTAAAATTGTTAATTTTCTTACTTACTAGTCGTGAGATTACAGTTTTTAATATTGTACTCTACTAAACAAACCATAATAAATATAATAAAATGTTTTATTAAAAATAACTATATTGTCACTATATATGTCACTGTCATGGTTTGATTAATGGACATATTATGAATGAAAATACAGTTACTTTATGTGGAAAGCAAAACCAGTAACAATAGTTTTTATTATAATTTATTTAATTGTTTATAAAAAATATAAATTAATCCAGTCAGCAGTTTGGCTTAAGCACATATGAATTTTTAATATTAGGATGTCAATAGAAAATGAGATTTTGACGGTATTTATTGATATGTTAATATGTAGCAATAAATGTTACTTCATTTGTCAATATCTGATCTTCTATTTACACATTTTTTATTTTTTTGTATATGTGTCATTTCTAAAAATAACCGTTTCTGTTCATGTCTCTGCCTCTCTAGAATTGAAGCCTGTGAAAAATTAAATGTGTGATTTAGATTGATCGAATGTTCGGCTAATGCACAAGCTTGTGATTTCTTAGTTTTTACATCACTTTTATGAGAAATAATTCTGCTGTGTAATGTTCTAGAAGTTTCTCCTATATAATTGTCCATTAATCAAACCATGACAGTGACATATATAGTGACAATATAGTTATTTTTAATAAAAAATTTTATTATATTTATTATGGTTTGTTTAGTAGAGTACAATATTAAAAACTGTAATCTCACGACTAGTAAGTAAGAAAATTAACAATTTTAACTAGTTAATTTATATTTCTTTTTATAGATGTCTTGAAAAAGAATTAAAAAAATTCGAAAGCTTGACAGTAAGTCAAAGAGTTTTCTTTGTCTTGTGGGCCAAATAAACTGACTGCATCCTCAAAAATCATAACTTATATTTAAATCAACAGTCAAGAATACCACCATCTTATATATATATATATATATATATATATATATATATATATATATATATATATATATATAATTATAAAATATATAATATTATATATATAGATATATATATATATATATATAATTATAAAATATATAATATTATATATATATATATTTATATATATATATATATATATATATATATATATATATATATATTGTTGTGATTTGCTTATAATTGTAAATCTACTTATATAGTCTGAAATGTAATAAATTATCAAACAAATCAAAAGCAAAGAATATCTCAGGGCTAAAAAATTTTTATTTTTATTTATTAAAACGTGGCTTCAAAGTATCTTCTGTTAGTTCCATTTAAGAAAGATCAACAAAAAGAAAAAGAAATAATAGACAATCAATTCTGATATTAAAACAATTGTCCTTTATTTTAAAATATATCCAATTAATTTAAAATTCCGTTGAGGATAAATCTTACACCATACACTATAAAAATATATATATATATATATAT